GCATCCCCATGTGCCTCCCTCCGGATGGTCCCAGCTCGGGGGGGTGGAGGGAGGAGGAGCTTTCCCACAGCCCACACCAAACGATTGCACAAGCCCTCGAAGGAAATTTCCGGCAGCGATTCACACCAGGAGGAGATTCGGGCCCCTGCTGGGGGAAGGATGCGCAGGGAAAACCCCCTGGGGTGGTCTGGGGGAAAGGAATTCCTCCTCCTCCCCAGTGTCTTCTCCACCCCCAGGCAGGTGGCTGCAGAAAATAGTGGGTGCAAACTAAATCCCTGATGTCACAAAAGCAGATTGGAGCTGCTGATAGCTGCAGCCCAGGGGAAAACACTGCAGGACACAGGGCTGGGTCACAGGGGTGTTTTGGGGGGGTGCAGCAGAGCCCCCACCCCATGTCTCAGTGACTTTGACCCCCACTGCCACCTCCCCACAGCCCCCTGGCACTGCCCAGCCTCAGGCCTTGGGCCTGGAGAAAAGCCAGAGAGCTCAGCCAGTCCCTAGTGTGGTTTTTTTTTGATTATTTTTATATCATCTCCCCAGTGCAGAGAATTTTATGAGCCTCTGATGTACTTTGGGGGGGTTCTTTTTGCCTCTCAGGGTGCTGGGAGAGCTGCAACCTGCAGAAACCAGGGTGCAGATAAGGAGGCAGAGAGAGTGCTTTGGGTTTATTTTGGTTTTCAAAGCCCAGGGGTGAGGAGCAGGGGGAAGAGATCACTCAACTCCTGCAGCCAGGTCCGGATCTGATCTCCAGCAGAGGGATTTTGTGGGAAATGAGCTTTTCAGCCAGGGGTGGTCCCTGTGTGGGGGCAGCCAGGGTGCTGGGCCAAAGGGCTGGGGAAGTGAGTCAGGCAGGAGAGATCAGGGGATGCTGGGGAAGGGGGAGAGTTCAGCCCAGGACAGCTGAGAGAGGATGAAAGCTCAGGGGACAAGCCACCAGACCAGCACAACACGGGGACTGCCAGTCCCCTTCCCCCAGTCCCATGGAGAGGGATCATCACCCTGGGAGACAGGCTGACCTTTGGGTCAGTGCTGCCACAGGCACCCTGAGCCCCCCACCCAGTGCTTTGGGCTGAAAAACTGTCCCTTTGGTGCTGCTCTCCCTGTTCTGGGGCCAGGGGGACACAGGGTGACCTGCAGCCCCACTGCTCAGCACC